ACTGACTCCAAGCTTTTGAATGGTAGAGTGTATAATGTTACAAAAGCTTTTTATTTCAGATGAATGCTGATCTTTCTATTCATCAAAGAATCCTGAAAAAATGTACTCAAGTGTTTTAAATATTGATAATAATAATAATAAAATGTTTCTTGAACAGCAAGTCTGAGCACATTAGAATGATTTCTGAAGGATCATGTGACACTGACTGAAGACTGGAGTAATGATGCTGAAAATTCTGCTTTTATCACAGGAATAAATTACATTTTAAAATATATTCAAATAGAAAGCAGTTATTTTAAATAGTAAACATTTCACAGTATTACTGCTTTTGCTGTATTTTGTATCAAATAAATGCAGGCTTGGTGAGCAGAAGAGAATTCTTTAAAAAACATAAAATCTTACTGTTCAAAATCTTTTGACTGGTAGTGTATATTAAAATGTTGAATCATACATTCAAATTAATTAAACACTTTTAAATAGACTGCAGCAATAATATTTTGCCACACATTATTTTGTTTAGTTCAGAATCGTGATCTCTATTTGAAACAAAAAAAATCGTGATTCTCAATTTATCCAGAATCGTGCAGCTCTACCTACAATGCTGCACGCGATGCCCAAAACGGCTGCATTAACCCCCAACATGCTGCACACACCTATCATGGCCAAAAATGCTGCTACATACAGTACACCTATGATGCCCCAAACTGCTGCAGCATGTGCCTGTGACTCCCAAAATTCTGCAAAATGTCCACTGTTGCCCTAAAATGCTGCTACACATGCCCAAAAATACTGCATGCAACTATAACAACCCAAACCGCCGCAAGCACCTGTACCTTCCCAATAAATCTGTATACCCATGATGCCCCCAAAAATGTTGCTTTACGTGCATGTGATGCTCTAATCTGCTGCAGTATACACCTATGACACCCCCAAAATAGTGAATGCCCCTATGGTGCATAAAATGCTGCTTCATGCATCTGTGATTATGCCCAAACATATTGCATGCACCTATAACCCCCAATCCACTGTAAGCACCCCAAAATGCTGCATGTGCCTATGCCTAACAAAATGCTGCATGTGCCTATGACTAACAAAATGCTGCATGTGCCTATGACTAACAAAATGCTGCATGTGCCTATGACTAACAAAATGCTGCATGTGCCTATGACTAACAAAATGCTGCATGTGCCTATGACTAACAAAATGCTGCATGTGCCTATGACTAACAAAATGCTGCATGTGCCTATGACTAACAAAATGCTGCATGTGCCTATGACTAACAAAATGCTGCATGTGCCTATGACTAACAAAATGCTGCATGTGCCTATGACTAACAAAATGCTGCATGTGCCTATGACTAACAAAATGCTGCATGTGCCTATGACTAACAAAATGCTGCATGTGCCTATGACTAACAAAATGCTGCATGTGCCTATGACTAACAAAATGCTGCATGTGCCTATGACTAACAAAATGCTGCATGTGCCTATGACTAACAAAATGCTGCATGTGCCTATGACTAACAAAATGCTGCATGTGCCTATGACTAACAAAATGCTGCATGTGCCTATGACTAACAAAATGCTGCATGTGCCTATGACTAACAAAATGCTGCATGTGCCTATGACTAACAAAATGCTGCATGTGCCTATGACTAACAAAATGCTGCATGTGCCTATGACTAACAAAATGCTGCATGTGCCTATGACTAACAAAATGCTGCATGTGCCTATGACTAACAAAATGCTGCATGTGCCTATGACTAACAAAATGCTGCATGTGCCTATGACTAACAAAATGCTGCATGTGCCTATGACTAACAAAATGCTGCATGTGCCTATGACTAACAAAATGCTGCATGTGCCTATGACTAACAAAATGCTGCATGTGCCTATGACTAACAAAATGCTGCATGTGCCTATGACTAACAAAATGCTGCATGTGCCTATGACTAACAAAATGCTGCATGTGCCTATGACTAACAAAATGCTGCATGTGCCTATGACTAACAAAATGCTGCATGTGCCTATGACTAACAAAATGCTGCATGTGCCTATGACTAACAAAATGCTGCATGTGCCTATGACTAACAAAATGCTGCATGTGCCTATGACTAACAAAATGCTGCATGTGCCTATGACTAACAAAATGCTGCATGTGCCTATGACTAACAAAATGCTGCATGTGCCTATGACTAACAAAATGCTGCATGTGCCTATGACTAACAAAATGCTGCATGTGCCTATGACTAACAAAATGCTGCATGTGCCTATGACTAACAAAATGCTGCATGTGCCTATGACTAACAAAATGCTGCATGTGCCTATGACTAACAAAATGCTGCATGTGCCTATGACTAACAAAATGCTGCATGTGCCTATGACTAACAAAATGCTGCATGTGCCTATGACTAACAAAATGCTGCATGTGCCTATGACTAACAAAATGCTGCATGTGCCTATGACTAACAAAATGCTGCATGTGCCTATGACTAACAAAATGCTGCATGTGCCTATGACTAACAAAATGCTGCATGTGCCTATGACTAACAAAATGCTGCATGTGCCTATGACTAACAAAATGCTGCATGTGCCTATGACTAACAAAATGCTGCATGTGCCTATGACTAACAAAATGCTGCATGTGCCTATGACTAACAAAATGCTGCATGTGCCTATGACTAACAAAATGCTGCATGTGCCTATGACTAACAAAATGCTGCATGTGCCTATGACTAACAAAATGCTGCATGTGCCTATGACTAACAAAATGCTGCATGTGCCTATGACTAACAAAATGCTGCATGTGCCTATGACTAACAAAATGCTGCATGTGCCTATGACTAACAAAATGCTGCATGTGCCTATGACTAACAAAATGCTGCATGTGCCTATGACTAACAAAATGCTGCATGTGCCTATGACTAACAAAATGCTGCATGTGCCTATGACTAACAAAATGCTGCATGTGCCTATGACTAACAAAATGCTGCATGTGCCTATGACTAACAAAATGCTGCATGTGCCTATGACTAACAAAATGCTGCATGTGCCTATGACTAACAAAATGCTGCATGTGCCTATGACTAACAAAATGCTGCATGTGCCTATGACTAACAAAATGCTGCATGTGCCTATGACTAACAAAATGCTGCATGTGCCTATGACTAACAAAATGCTGCATGTGCCTATGACTAACAAAATGCTGCATGTGCCTATGACTAACAAAATGCTGCATGTGCCTATGACTAACAAAATGCTGCATGTGCCTATGACTAACAAAATGCTGCATGTGCCTATGACTAACAAAATGCTGCATGTGCCTATGACTAACAAAATGCTGCATGTGCCTATGACTAACAAAATGCTGCATGTGCCTATGACTAACAAAATGCTGCATGTGCCTATGACTAACAAAATGCTGCATGTGCCTATGACTAACAAAATACTGCAAAATCAAAAATGTTGCTACACATGCCTGTGATGTCCAAAAATGATGTTACATGCATCTGTGATGATGCACATACACTACATGCACCTATAAGAAACCAATCTGTGCTACAAGTACCTATGATGCACCCCAAAATGCTATTGCACACACCTACTATGCCCCAAAATTGATACATGTGCCTATGACTCCCAAAACGCTGCATTGCCTATTGTTGCTCAAAAATTATGCTCATATCAATAACACCCCAAACTATTGCAAGCAATGTCTTGAAAAAATCTACATAGCCATGATGCCCCCAAAAATGCAGCTACACGCGCATGCAATGCTCTAATCTGCTGCAACATCCACTTATGACACCCCCAAAATATTGCATGCACGTATCGTGTCCAAAAACGCCGCACTCGCCCCCTGTCGATGAAAAATGCTCGACACATCTGTCACGCCCCAAAAACGTTCCATGCACCTGAAACGTTACACGCACACGTGTAAAAACGATGCTGCACACAATGACCATCAACATGACGCCTGCGAATGCTGTCTAGCTAGGCAGCTCACTAGGGTTTGAGACACGGCCCACAGCGCGCTCTGAAAGCGAAACGAAAAAATGTGCAACACAAGGACACTAGCACGTGCTCCCGGTTCTGCTGCATCACAACAACAACAACAATAACAGCGAAGACGATGAGGATGATGAGCACAGAGAAGATGAAGGTTATAATAACTCACACTCGCGGCAGCTGCAGGGGTGGCGCCCCCCGCCGCAGAAACACCCCGTCCACGAACACCCCGTTTTTGCCCAGACAGCGCAGATAAAACTCTCCCGAGCCTGTGTCCTCCGCGGCGGCGGTGAAGATCTCCAGATGCCGGCGGGAGATGAAGCTCGAGTGGCCCATGCTCACGTCCACCGAGCCCTGCGACGAGTTCCGACCCACCGTCACCGAGCGCTTCTTCATCACATACTCAAACTCACGGCCCTCCAGGCGGGCCATCGCTGCCATCTTTATCTTTCCGCACGCTAAATATGAATGGAAAATATGAAGGGGTGAAACGTTAAACGTGCCCGACCGGAGACACCAGCATCAGCGGCGGCGACTCGACCCACCGCCGCGATTCACCCAGAGACGCGCTAGGGGATGCGGTAATTCAATCGCAACCAATGAAATAAGGAATATGGAAGACATGACGGATTGAAGGTCGGTTGCGCTGTGCTTCAACACGCATGTGTGTGGAGAGTTGTCAACACTGGACTGGAGATTTGTCATGGACGTGAAATGGCTTTATAATATTATTACGGCAATAATAAATTATCGAATAAAAATAATACAGTTAATATTTTTTTTATTAAAAAAAAAACACTTTACCCTTTAAGACTTGCACTCTATTTGTTTTCTGCTTGTTTTCTTTTAAAAAACCTCTAACACTAGCTTTCTCTATTCTATTCTATTCTATTCTATTCTATTTTCTTTTTATTTATTATATAATTAACAAAACAACTATTTGTTTTCTAACTGCTTGTTTTCTTTTTTAAAAAGTTTAACACTTTCTATTCTGTCTATTTGTTTTCTTTTTATTATATGGGCCTAATCAACAAAAAAACTATTTGTATTCTAACTGCTTGTTTTATTTTAAAAAGGGCCTCTAACACTAGCTTTCTCTATTCTGTTTGTTTTCTTTTTATTTATTAGCTATATAATTATATAAAACTGCGTTAAGCTGACTCAGACTTGTCATAGCACTTGCATAGCATTGCTTCCTCATGTGTAAGTCGCTTTGGATAACAGCGTCTGCTACATGACTAAATGTAAATGAATATAGAAAGAAAGTATGATCTAATATAATACTAAAGTATTTAATAAAATAAAATAAAAACAGCCTAAAATCTTGTAATATAGAAGGATTATATTTTATTCACGGTTTTCTTGTGCATATTAATTGCTTTGGGAATCTGAATGTGCAGCGATCTTGCCAATAAAAGTACCTTTACAATTGAATGTACTTCATTTCATACTATGTTTAAAATGTCGCCAAAAACGGAAGTTCATCATTCATAAATGTGATTTAATATAATTAACCAAGGTTTTAGCTCATCGTCCGTTTTATATATTCTTATTATTATAGTTCACATTTTTATCCGACATGCATCTATCTTCATAAAAGCGTATCATAATGTATCTTTAGAAAACGGAGTAGCCTAAGCCTAGAGCAAAATCCCATTGAAGCCCACTCCGTGCTTTACGCCTCTCCACGTCTGCAGTCTCCGATTCCCCCAGAATCCTCAGCGCCGTCAGCGTGGTGTTTTGGGTATAGAGGTCATGAAAACAAACGTGTTTATTCAAGCGTTCAGAGCGCGAAAATGACCCTCCCCTGAAACAAAACGTACTCTGTCGTTTAAACGTCAAGCAGAGGCCGTTTCTTCAGAAGCGTGAACGCACACAGGGAGATGGGCGCAGAACATGTGCTCCTGCACGGTGACGTCGTCACTTCCTGGTGTTTGTAAACAGTGCTGCTGGGTGTGTTCACAGGCACACCCCATCACACCCGATAACAGCTCCTAGAGGAAGCACAGGCTGTTTGCTGAACAATGGAGAACACCATGGCTTTCACACTTGCTAAAAAGCACCATGTTTTTTTATTTATTTATTCTTAACCATGTTAGTAGCCTACCGTAGTGATGGTGCTAGTGGAACCATGCTTTTTGGACAGGTTTTTAAATGCGGCTAATTTTCTTCTTAGACATGGTACATTGCTACTATGCCATACGATAGGCCTACCATATTTAAGTGAGAGTGGGGCGAGTTGAGTCAGTTTTTACTTATGGTGTGTTTAAAGCAGGGGTGTCCAAACTCGGTCCTGGAGGGCCGGTGTCCAGAAGAGTTTAGCTCCAACCCCAATTAAACACACCTGAACCAGATAATCAAGCTCTTACTAGGCATACTAGAAACTTAAAGGTCCAGGACCGAGTTTGGGCACCCCTGGTTTAAAGCGAGCACATTCAGTAATGGGTCCAACTTAAATATATTACACAAATACATAAATTTCCGTACCACATCACCAATTTTGTGTTAAGGCTGCCTGGAAACAAAGGGTGGCCCTACTTCCCCACAGGCTCAAATTACCCCACTCTCCCCCTGTGGTATTAGTTAGTTAGTTAGTTGTACTTTATTGTCCAGCCTTGATATGAATGAAAATTGGTCTTTGGTCTCGCTATACACAACATCCACACTGACACAAACAATTAACATTTCCTACATCACTCAATTTCCTACCCCTTTTTTTTTAGAAGACCTATTGCATACGAAACAAATATTCATTAAATATATTACCTTTGACAAACACAGTTCAGAGGTTGCATTATGTCTCCTTTTTTTGCAGTCAAGGCTTCATCTGAATTAAAAATAATATTGATGACAAATAGTTTGCAATATCAAGTAGCACAACTGACTGTTTTTGTACAGGTAAAATAACTGGAAGCCAATGACGCCGGAAGTCTCGCACATTCAAGTTACTAATAGCCACGCATCCTCTTCCGTTAAAAATAAGGTGGATACTAAATGCAAAGTGTAAATATAAGTGAAAAGTTATTTGTATTAAAGGTAAACTGTCTGAGCAGTGGTGTGTGGAAATACTCCTTGCCAAAAGGTTAGATATTTGCACTTATTGACACTAAGTTAGTGTAATAGACACTTGGGCTACTTTTTATGTTCAACATGAGTAGGCCTGTTATACAGTACAGCCAGGACTAGTTAATTCTACTTTACCCACCAGAGGGAGACGTTAAGCTGTTGTCATTTGTTTGAGGAGAGAGTATGGTGACATTCTCACAAATAACATGACTGTTCAAGCAGATGTTTATTGTTTATAATGGTAATTTGACTGCCATACGTTTATGTAAGTGGCAATTGATTATTGTAGGTGTATTACTTGTGGATTATTGTGATGTTTTTATCAGCTGTTCAGACTCTCATTCTGACGGCACCCATTCACTGCAGAGCATCCATTGCTGAGCAAGTGATATAATGCTACATTTCTCCAAATCTGCTCTGAAGAAACAAACTCATCTACATCTCGGATGGCTTTTCAGCTAATTTCATTTTAGGGTGAACTATTCCTCAATCTGAGATTCTGTAAAAATGGGGAAATAACCTTCATGCAAACAGAAATATATAAAAGATTAATACAGTAAATGGACTGTGAGAAATGAGAGACATGCTCATTCTAGAGAGCATTTGATACAAACAAACATTGGTATATGCCCTGTGAAAAAGATCGTCATTAATGTTGTTTCCCCAAATGTACCAACATTTGGTCTTGAGAGCATCAACATATTGGACAAGAATGAATTGTTGAATTATGCCATCATATTAGTTTTCACATTAATTATAAATGCAATCCTTATTATGTGATGAAATATGATTACTTGTTTGGCTGGCCTCATCCTATTATTGCTGTCATTAACATCTCTTCTTCTGTATGGCTTCACTTTTTCTCCTCACGCACACATAAATTGCTTTTTGTGCTTCATTGTGGTATTTTCTGTATCTACCCGATGACCACCAGGATGCATGCTCGTGGGTTATTAAAATAAAGAGCGGAGCGATCAATATTCAGCACTCCAGAAAGCCAACAATTACATTGGAAAGCTCTTACAGAAACCATTTAGGAAACCGGTGTAATAACTCAGCTGGAGGACTGCAGCTAACGACAGCATCCCACTTATGCAGAATGGGATTTTAGCAGCTTTTATAAGAATTTATCAAACATAGTCCAACCCCTAAACTGTAAATAAACATCTGTTGGCAACATATTCCAGGCATCATGAATCAGAATAATCAGAATGATGGGATTTTACTGCTCGTATACAGTGTTTTATGGAATATTCTTTTTCTTTCTTTCTCGCAATTGCAAATGTATATTTCACAATTCTGACTTTTTCTCAGAGATGCCATATATTTTGCAATTCTGAGTTTACTGTATATCTCGCTTACTCATAAAAGTCAGAATTGTGTGATATAAACTCAGAATTGTGATAAGGACACATGCAGTCTTTAACTGCAGTCTGCGAGTTCATTTGACCTTATAACAAATGATGCATAATTAAATATATACTGTAAATTACAATACCATAATGAATACAAAAATTCAGAAAACTCAGAACTGTGAGATATAAACTCAGAATTGCGAGAAAAAGTCAGATCTGTAAGATTACCTTAATCCTTTTTTTTTTATTGAATGGAGGAAACAAGCTTCCGTAGTTTTCCCAGTTATTAAATGGATTGTTCACCAAAAAATTTAAATTACCCCATGATTTACTTAATCATCAAGTAGTATATTAAACTAAATATACTTATATTATATTAAATATTACTGTATATAATATATATAAATATAAACTGTATATTATATTAAATATTAAACAATATTTGTTTGATAAATCATGATTTACTTAACCCTCAAGTAGGTGTATATGACTTTCTTCTTTCAGACCAATACAATCAGTTTTTATTTATTTATTTTTAATGTCCTGGCTCTTCCAGGATTTACAATGGCAGTGAATGAGGGTAGAGATTTTGAAGCCCATAAAAGTGCGTCCATCTATCATAAAACGTTCTACACACTCTCTGGGGGTTAATAAAGGCCTTCTGAAGTGAATTGATGCATTTGTGTAGGAATAATATCCATATTTAAAACTTTATAAACCATAATCTCTAGCTTCCGCTAATTGTTGTATATCTGTTCACGAGAGTGATGTTCCAGTGGATGAAGTAGGAGTAGCATAAACTCGGTTGAGAATATGCTAGTCTTGAGAGAACCAAGTTTTGTTTATAGCAAAGGAAAACCAGTCTCCTCTCTTGGCTTATATCGAAATTTTCCAACATTTTCTTTACAAATCCTCATTATGTACTTCTAACTCATGAGCGGTGTTTTTGTTTTGCTCTCTCCTCTGTGCTATCACATTCATCACTTCTCACCGGAGCTTGTGCTACGCTTACGTCCTAATCTCCCGCTGGAACGCCACTCTCTCGTGAACGTGCGTACAACTTTTTTTTCCCCTCGTCTCAAGAAAAATCTGCGTCCACACGAAACCACAAAACCGACACAAAACGCTGTAGT